AGTGCTTCACTGAGCAAATTCACTCCCACCAGGCTGCCAGTGTAAACAGACAAACTGGCCAAAGAGCACAAAACCTGGAGAGATGTTAAATGACATACAACATTAAAATTGTCCAACTGTTTCTCTTCAGTCCTCTCTTTATGCTGGCATACCAAGGTCCCAGAGCAGTTTTGCACAGTATTGCTCCAGGTTTTGCCTTTTTTCCATATGACATGCCCACTTGAATGAAATGGTCCTTTTAGCTCAATCTGTCAAACAGCAAGGTTGAATCTCTGGTTTTGTCACCACCTGGCTTTCATAAAGGGTGTTTGGCATTTTGCCATGACAGAAGGGTAAAGATACAGCTTAGTGAAGCATTAAGGCTAAAAGAGAACAAATTCTTAATGGCTGATACTGGTTAAGAGGGACTATCTTCCTCAGAAGTGGTGCATATATTAATTTAAAGGACACAAATACAAAAACAATATCAGGTTAGGACATTTCAGTTAGAATTATAGTTCTCACTCTAATCTCCACTAACTGCTCTCTAATCTCCACTAGTAATATTTGGAGAATAGTCTAAAAATATATATATTCTTCATGACATGCAAGAAAATTACCAGCTTTGAAAAACACACTTCCTAATGAATTTTACAATAAAGAAACTTGACTATTTACTTATGTAGTTGGTGCCTCCTGAGTGATAAAACAGGGATAAAAATTTTGTAGAGATAACACTTGTGTTATTACTATTTTCTTTGGTCATCTTTTGCACTATTTCAGTCAGAGGCCACCTTCTGACCTTTCTGTATTTGCCTGCACATTTCTCCAAGTGGAAAAGAATACCAAATCTTCGGAGCTGGAATTTTTCCCACCTCAGTCTCAGTATTTGTCTTTTATCTCGTTTCAGTACAGTTATACCCTTGAATATGTGAACAAGAACAGGACGTGTTTCCCCACTTATATTCATTTGACATTTATGTTCACATAACCATAGCAGTAAGAGAATTCAAAACCTCTTGCATCAGGTACCCCTTTGGAACAAAAGTTCAGCCATATCTGAAGACAACCTGTGTTAGGATCTGTGATAAAGGTCTGCACATGTACAGAGGAACACAGGCAGGGGACAGTCCAGGTAACACCCTCCTCTGGCTTCTCCCAAACCCATCACAAGGACCATCAGCCCATCTTCACAAGCACAGGTGCACAAGGGCAGGTGAGAACCCCTAGAGACTTAGGGAAAGGGAACACTCTGACAACCCCTGCAGGGCTATCCCAGGAGTCTCAGCCTGGGCACAAAACCCACCATGAAGAGATAATTTGGAGTATCTCTCATACTTAAGAGGTTTGATGCCCCAAGGGTGTCAGATGCAATATAGGGCAGAAGAGAAGAAGATTTTGTGATTGCAGTAGACTTACAAGACATTTAGGAGAGGAATTAAAGTCAAGGAAATAGATGGATTTAGGTGACCTGGGGAGGAAGTGGTGTTAGAAAATAGATCACATCTGTTTTCTGTGTGTGTGCATGTGTGGGTAGGGAGTACAAGTACCAACAACTGGACTTGGAGTCCTGCATGGCAGCAACTGTAGAGACTGAAGGGAATAAAACTGCCAGTGAGTAGAGTGGGACCAGGGGTCAGAGCCCATGTCCCTGAGAGCAAGACTGTGGTGGTGTTTGCAGGGGTCCCAAGATAAGGGAAGAGATGAGAATCTTGACTCCATGTTTCAGAAAGCTGCTTTATTATTTTATGATATGTATTATATTGAAAGGAAATGATATATTAAAACTATAATAAAAGAATAGAAGAAAGGATTTCATCAGAAGGCTTGAAAGGAATAGAAAGGAAATGGAATGATAATAAAATCTTGTGACTGACCAGAGAGTCCGAGACAGCTGGACTGTGATTGGCCATTAATTTAAAATAACCACATGAGATCAATCAAAGATGCACTTGTTGCATTCCACAGCAGCAGCAGATAATTATTGTTTACATTTCATTTTTGAGGCCTCTCAGCATCTCAGGAGAAAAAATCCCAGCAAAAGGATTTTTCATAACATATGACCATGACAAAAGACCACATGAGAAGCTGAGTGTTGGAGGGACCAGGTGAGTCCTGCTCAGCTGCCAGAGACACCCTGAGGTGTGGGTATCTGCGGGGTGAAACCTGCTGGGCTGGGCATGAGGGAAATGGCCTGTACCAGAGGCTGGGGCAGGGCTGCAGCCTCAGGGGCTCATATGTCCATTTGCCAGCAACTGGAGAGACTGGGATCCAGGAGCAACTGGGGATTAGACAGAATGTGTGAGCCCAGCTGTTGGATCTACCTTGCATAGAAGAATCACAGAAAAAAACCCCTAAAAACCCAAAAAAACTAATCAGGTTGGAGGAAACCTCCAGGAATCACACAGTACAATAGCATGCTAAATTCAGGGACAACTTCAAAGACAGATCAGGTATTTTCTAGATCCCAGGGCTGGAAAAATAAAAGGGAAGATGTAATAGGAAGAGAAAAAGAAGCCAAGGACCCAGAAGCTTTGGCGATGTGGAAAAAATAAGAAAAGCAGAGATAAAGCCAGACCTGCTTTGGAGGGACAAGAAATCTGAGTTAAGAAAGTAAGTTGAGACTGGTGTGATGGAGAGATTGACAAAGAACTGAAATCAATACTTGGAGTAGGAGACCAGATTAGTGTCAGTTTTTTAAAGTGGTTGAGGAGCAGTGAGAAAAACTAAGAAAGGCTGCCAAGGTGAGAAATCTGAATGGAAAAGAAGCAAGTTCGGAGAGGGAGGTAAAGAAAAGCTAACAGATTCAGGAAATAAATTCAGATCTTAAGAAAAGATGCTAGGGAAAAAAAAAAAAGTCAAGGAGTCAAAAAATTGTTCCAAGGATTTGGGTCCATATTGGTTGCATAGAAGACTTCAGCTGGGGAAAGGGAGAAAAAAAACCAAGGAAAAATTGCCATTTCTTCTGAGAGAGAAGCTGAGCAATGAGGAAAGTGTTTAAGAACAGCAATTACCAGACCCATGCCTTCTGTGCTTAGTTTACATTTGTTTGCTTTGTTTAAAGTTTCTAGCACATGACTTTTATACTTAAGCAAATCTGTTATCACTAGAAGATCACAGATTAAATTGAAAGTACAGAATGCAAACTCCTAAATCATATCAAATCCTCATTAAGTGATTACCAGCATGTAGTTTCTTCTGCTGGAGAAAGTGACTAGATGTGGTTTGCTCAGTGCTTGTAAGCAATTAGCTTTTAAATGGGAAATGAAAATGGATAGTGTTTCATTTTCTTGTTCTTAAGAAAGTAAATAGGAAATCCTTTGGACTCCTTGCTGAGTTTGTATTGATGTTCAATTTAAATGTTCCTAAAATCAATAACTAATTAGTAAAACTTAAATTTTGAAGAAATTTCCAAGTTCTTTTGGAAATGTATCTTTTCTTACACACTTGAAACATATATTTTAATAATTTTCCTGCAAATACAAGGAAATATGCAGTAATACAATGATTAAAGACAATATAAATGGGCTGTTTTAAAGACATTTCTAGCATTTGATAGAAATGATTTGATTTTTCATATATAAATATATATAGAGAGTGTACTGACTAGAATATAGTGCCTTTCTATGAATATGTTTTTCAAACTGCATAATGCAGATTTGAATTATTAATGCTGAATTGATTGTTTGTACAAATTAATTGGCTTCTGCATTGTTTTTCTATTACACCAGTAAATGACATATATGTCACTGTGAGTGGCATATGGTACTGTGGTACATGTCAATGATCATAAAACTTGGCTCATCCTGATCACTCCCACTTTTTGAAATCTCTTATTGAAGTTATTAACTACTCTGAAGAAAAAAAAAAAGAAAAAGCAAAAAAGAGCAAAGTAGAAATGTGAGCTGGTTCATACATGTTTTTCAACGTCTTCTGTCCTCTGCAATAAAACATTCACATATCATATTCTTTATATTTTTTTTCAGAGAACTATATTCTTTTGACTTAAGAGTTTTCACTTCTGTGGTATTTTCTTATGAAATTATTTGATTGTCATTAAATGCATGATGATTTCTTTTATGTTGAATCCCAGACACCTTGCAAAATTCACTGCATCAGCTTGAACCCAATTACAAAATGGTATCACCTGTCTATGTAAGACTTATCACTGTCAGACATTATTGGCCATCAGCTGCATTGTTGTAATTCTATTAATGTCAAGAGAATCTATTTTTAAAAACCACACATAGTGATTATACTGAATCCATATTCTTCTGTAAAGGCCCAGGACTTTTTAAATAATAACTTTATATGATGGGCTGTTTCCCACTTCACTTAAATGGAACAAAATGCATCAAAGCTGTCATAAACTTTGAAGTTCCAAAGTGTCACCCTGCAGCTAAGTGTGAATGGCTGTGGCTCAAACCTGATTTGAAAAACATGTGTGTGATGATTCAGACCATGGATTTCTTGTAAAGTGTGTTTCATGCAGGACAATAAAGGATGATCTCAAACTTGCTAAAAGGAGCTGGATATCACATGACATTACATACCTTGATTTCAGATCATGGATTCAGACGATGATTCAGATCATGGATTTCTTGTAAAGTATGTTTTATGCGGGACAAGAAAGGATGATCAAACTTGCTCAAAGGAGCTGGATATCATATGATATTACATACCTTGATTTCCTGCCAGATGTCTTTCTCTAAAGAGCAGTATTTACCAGTGATGTATGAAATCAAATACTGTATGAAATCAAACACTCTGAGAAATCAAATATTTTATAGGGTAAGATGCCCTGGCCATCAGCTATAATTCTGATTTTGAGAAGGAAAGGAGTGGGGTTAAAGGATCACTTCCCTCTTCTGGAGCTAGAATGTGTCTGGAAGAGATTGTTTCATGGTTACACTGGCTTTTGGGCAGGAGGGCTTTTGTTGCTCTGGAGGAAACACAAAAAACTGTCATATACTCACAGGAAATGGTCAGTGAACACATGAGCTAAAATACTGAGCACGTACATGGCAAAAGCTCCTCTACAGGGTTTCTTATTGCCACTTCTCTCCACGTGTCACCTTCACCCTTGTCTTCGGAAAGCCAGCTCTGTATGGGGAGACAAATCTCTTCAGCAGACACAGGGACTTCTCTTTCAAGCCTGATTTCCTCCAGGTACCAGCTGGGATCATTTCCAGAGTTGTCGTGGCCTATGCGGATTTTATACAGCTGCCCAAGACCTCTGAGATTAATCTGTAAAAAAAAAAAATTTAAAAAAAAGAATCCATATTTTAATAACAAATTACACTGTCATCTTTAGCCATCCTTCTTATACTGGGCATGTAAGCTAAATGTGCAGCTAACATAGCCAAGAGTAATGAGTTTTGTTAGAAAACTAAGCCTTAATATACAATGAATGCCAGAGACAGAGTGAAAATGTGTGGAGTAGTCTGCAAGTGTAATTTTATTGACTTCAGCAGTGCATTATTTAAAGTGAGTAAAGGGCTCAGAGAATCCAGTCTGTTTCTAGACCTCTTCAAGGAATCCATTTTCTAGTATTACAATGTAAATCTCTCTTGCTAGACAAATCCTTTAACAAGCAGAACTAAGTTCAGTCATTGCGACACCAAATCATACAAGTCCATACAGTTACCATCAACAGGGCCCTATTATCTATTCCTACCGCTTATGAGTCTGCTACTTTTCTCATTGACTCCTTTTTATTTGTGCTCTGGTGCCAGAGTTAACTGTTTCTGTAAGTGCTGATGCTACACTGCAGCAAATTTAAACAATAAAGCATGGCTATGTCTCATTGAATACTGCAGCCTTGAAATAAGAGCTGCTGTGTTTTGGGTTGCAGAAGTATTTTGGGCAATTCTGATGGCAGGAATCAAAGCACAAAAGCAGGGTTAACCACTTTCAACCTTTTTTTTTTTTTTTTTTTTTTATCAGTGTTGTGCTTGAAAGTTCATGGTAATTGGGAAAAAAAATCACCAAGTAAAAAAGAACAAAAAAGAGCTGTTTCCTTTACTATTATAGCAATTTTGTACTATTTCACATCAAAACAAAAAGGAAAAAAGGAAACAAACCTCCCTGAGGCAAGCCTGGTGCAACTAAGTCTCACAGGCTGAGGGCATGACATGTATGCTAGTACTAAAAAGTCTGAATAGAGTCATACTTATGACCATTATAGTAGGTTTTGCTATATTAAAACAGTATGTTAAAGGAAGATGTGCCAGAAGATACATTTATAGCATTAATGCAATAAAACTATGTACCTCAAAGATGTACCCTTAATAGTCACAGTGAAATTACAACAGATTAAAAAAGCACTCTGACACTAGCCAAAAAATGTAGCCAGGACATGGGCTAAGTTGCCCTAACAAATGCCACCCAGCTGCAAAACAGAGACCTCTGCAGTAGGCAAGGGACTGCTAAGGTTACCTTGAAAATAAATATAAAATTATATTAGAACTCTCAATCTTTATTGCAAACTGAGTAGAGTATGGTATTGGTGGACAACAAGGTAGTGCTCTCCTGAGATCCAGGCACTGGCTGCTATTTGTGGTGCAGAAGTGTTAAAGGGAAATTTTCTGAATAAAACACTGATACCTTGTGATCTTATGTCCATGATTAAATTCTGGCTTAACCCCTGTTGAAAGAGAAGCATCACAGCCATCACAGATTATGGTATACAATGATCATTACCATGATTCTTGGTCAGGACCAGGAAACTCTATTAAAGAGCCCCTTTCAATTTCTGAAGCAGCTAATCAGTCATTTGGCTATGAAGCAAACTAAAACATTGATAAAGCAAATCTTGCATCTCTATTATAAATATATATATGAGTTATAGTATGCATTATAGGAGTTGTATCAAAAGTGAAGCTCAAACTTTTAAAATTATAGTGAATTATATATATTGATTTATTATGCTGAAGTGGATTTTTTTGTTGTTGTTCCAGGAGGAGGTCTAAGATGTGAGGTATGTTTCTAGGTGAATTCCCATGCAAAGACCATGAACACGTCCTTCTGTCCTTCTCCTCCTGCTGTGCTCCAGCAGATCCATTTCCTTCTTGTGCTGAGGCCCTAGAGCTGGATGTAGTGCTCCAGGTGGGGTCCCACAAGAGCAGAATAGAGGGACAGAATCACCTCCCTCACCCTGCCAGCTGCATAGTAGATGATTTTTGGCAGACCACTGATGCAACCAGAGAAAATATCACCAAAAAAAGCATATGTAGGGGAAATGACCAAAAAAAAGGTGGGGAGAAAGGACAGAAAAAGAAAAAAAATAGCAATTTGAAAAAAGAGAGGGAAGTTATGAAGACCATTCATCACCATATCAGCATGCCGGGGCTTCCTGCTACTGGATAAGCAAGAGAGCAATCCATCAAACCTAATCAAATGAAGTTTCAAGGTAGAGAACAGAAAGTTCCGACCGGACCTTTAGGTTTCTCCAGGAGATGTATCCAGTTGCAACTAGTTCAATTAGATTTGTTGAATTCCTGTTCAGCATCTCGAAATATGTATGTCCTTGTGTCTTTTTATACTTCCTAGCCCTCCCTAATATTCACACTCTAAAAGCAGTTAAGACATAATCAAAGTAAGAAAGTTATGACCACATGCTAAAGGGGAATTTGCCCAAAGTTTCAAGTCAAATACATTTGCTTGCTTTCAGCTAAAGGGAGAAACAGCATCCAGCACACTTGACTTACAAAATAAAAAGTTTTTGTATGGTAAACTATGCTGGACTTACAGGTAATGGCATATTTCTGAGCCTGAAAAGTCTCAAAAATCAAAACACAGAACACTGCCCATTTGATAACAGGCTTAGCAATATGCTTATAATTTTTGCATAATATTATTTTTCTGAATAATTGTTTATTAGTGACCTTGGGGGAAAAAAGTCATGTTTATTCTTAGGTGGAAATTAGGCAATGGCAGAGGGGAAATCAATTGTATATGATGTTCTGGAAGATATATAATACAATTAGAAATTTACTTTCTGTACCAATTGCATATTTGGTGCTTGGAACAATTCATCTTGATGTCAGCTCAGATACCACATTGCTTTCTCAGTGGTATTGACTTGCTAACATGTTATTTTTTGTCAATTGGAATCCCATCAAATGTATGTCAGAATTTGCTCTTGCAGTGAAATGCAGAGGAAAATATTCTCATAACACAGCAGAGCTAACAATATTCTTTTGACAACATAAACAGTGTCTTGAGCTTGCTTCTTCCTTCTCTGTGTTGAATAAATTGCCTTGAACTTCTGCATGACTTGAACACAACCTGACATTTAGAAATCTACTTTCACAGCCAGAATGTTCTGTAAAAAGTTGTAGGACAAAGTTGACTTTGTCGCCCTTGTTAACAATGTGCTTACAAAAACTGCAGTCTAGCTGCTCAATGATGTTCCAGCACTAAAACTGCAAAAGTAGCATTCCTTTTTATATGGAAACAGCCATTCTGATAGGCCTGCAATAAATGTCCAAAGGGGAAAGGATGAGTTCCAGGACTAAAGCATCGCTCTGAAAATCAGGCAGCTATTTTATTCCTGGATTTGCTTTAGGCTTTCTGAGAAATTACAAAATTCACAAACCCATTTTGCTCCACTTTCTCAACTATACAAGGACAACATTTACATGTCTTTTACAGGGACATAGCAAATCTCTCTTCATAAATTTTGAGATTCTCAGAAAAAGGCACAACTCTGAAATTCTATACTTTTTTTCTAAAATGTTAAGTTCATTTTGTGTTAGTTGCTATTTCTCTAAAATTCAATTGAGATGTCAAAAATTATGAATTGTAATGGTGTAATAGTTAGGACATTGAGTGAAATTCAAATTCCATTATGACGTTGGTTACATCAGCCACCTATAGAACATAAAATCTAAACAGCAGGGGTGACAAACAAGGACATGGAAACACAGATTGAGGTAAAGGGATCTAGACACCACAAACATCAGGTATGGTGATCTTCTTAGGGATGTTAGAGAAATCTTCTACAAATACTAGCCTCTTCCCAGGGAAAGATTTTGCAAAACACCTGAGTCATCATCTACAGTTAACTTGTTGGTTGATTGTGGAACTCCTGCTGCATTAACCAGTTTAAGTCCTGTAATAAATTCTAAAGGGGACAGGCCTCATACAGACTTTGCTTATGTGACAGACTGCCAGCACCTAATAGGTTTAAAAGTATCATTGTGACTACAATGACAGTGGTCATTCTATTGTCTTTGTAACATTTTTCTTCACTGTTACAGGCAATAATATCAATGCATCATATTTCATGGCACAAGTACCAGTACAAATTATTGAAAGAACTGTCCACCACTTTCAAAAAGGGTCATGTTTTCACACATAGCATCTTTGATTTAGTCATATTCTAAATTTTTGCAAGCAGTTAAACTAGACTAACCTGCTAAACAATACACCTATATACTTTGCTCATTGCTACTATTTATAGGACAAAGTAATCTTCTTACCATAGGCAATGGGAACATTTTCATTAATTCATGTGTTAGACAACTTGGTCTTACTTTTTGAAATTGAAGCTTAACAAAGCTCATCTTTTACCATTTGTCTCTAAGCATAATTGAAATCCAGGTTTATCAGCAAGAAGTTCTACCTAAAGAGGATGCAAGGACTAAATTTTAATTCCATTTCTAAATGAGTTATGCAAATACACTTTTTGGTCCCTAGCATACCTGTGATATTTTGAATGGAGTAGGTATGACCTATCTTCATGTACTTAAGATGTTTAACTAAGTGAAAAGTGAAGTTCCTTGTATGAACAAGAAAAGATTCAGTGGAAGGATACTTCAATAAGAGGATGGAAAACATATCTGTGATTACTCATTTTCTCTTTTATTTACTAGAATAAGCAAAATAATATCACTGCTTTCCTGTTGTGCAGAGAGTATCCTGCAGTCTCTTTGAGATAAACTCAGGCTAGCATGAAAATCATTTGGATAAATCAACACTTCAGAGGCAGCTGCACCAAAATCCTAATGTCTAACACACCCACCAGAGAATGTGCTTGACAGACAGTTATTAATTTCATGTAAGGCCACTTCATTAACAGAATTTCAGAGAAGTCATGTACAGCAGTTGGATTCCCAAAAGAAAGAAAAATCATTGATTGCATTAGTTTAACTTCTACAGCATCAGAATCTAATAGAGAAATCTTTGGAAGTAGATGATATTTTTTAATTGTGAACATGCAGCTAATAACTGTTGCCAAAAATGCAATGACTATTATGCCAGTACAGTACAAAGGGTCCACCCATGCTGATTGCTTTTTCCAGACGTCTGAATTCAACCACTTTGTTAATTGTGCCCAGAAAACTTGGCACAGTTACACACTAACTCAAAAAATAGAATATGTCACAGGTGCTCACACAGAAATTTAACAGTGCCATGAAAAAAGGTGGATATAGACAAATAAGGAATAGGATTAAAGGCCACACAAAGATCAGCATTATTTTTTCCTACTTCATACTTGCTTTGGTCATAAAAATACATTGCTTAAACAAATACTGCTGATTGCACAGTGACTGTTAAAATGCTTTCTTTTCCAGTGCACTCAAGCTCTGGAAGAACTTAATTTTTACTGTGGGTTAATCAAATTATGCCAACAGCAAGTACAAATATTCATATATTTATGTATATACACACACTTGGTACTGCAGTACATACTGCCTAATTACTGAACAAGTAACACCACATTCCCCACTCCCAATTCTTAAAGATGAGATGAGCTGTGTTTTTCTCCAAGATTTTTTGTGAGCTCTTTACAATCCTGCGTTGTTTCTTGGAACAAGCTAAATTTTTTTTTAATGCACAGCCTGTAGCTGATGAATATAATTTTACATACTTCTCCCCTTTAACTCAGTAAGGGATGAGGTCCATCTTGTTATCCTGTGCATTTCACAGACAGTGACAGTTTCAAGTGGAGTAACAGCCATGGGTATGAAAGTTTTATGCTGCCTTAAGCAGATCTTACTAAAGCCTGGGCTTCTCTAAGTTTCATGCAACTGTTTCTGGACCTAAATGGTCGTTATGGAAAGCAGAGACAGTTGGAAAATAGCAAGACACAAGCAGTGTCCAGCTTTCAGGCATTGTCAGTCCCATGGTTAAGAGTGTAGATAGCTACATCAGTGCTTATGTTCTCTCTTGCAATCTTCCCACTCTGGAAGGATTCTAACTGAGCTCATTTCAGCCTCTTTTATTTGAACATCATGAGCAAAAGCATGAAAATGGATTTGTTTCAACCTATTTTTGCAACATTTAGTTTTCTTCTCACTGCTTCTCATTTTACTTTGGAGATCTCAGTTTTGACTGAAGAAAGAATGACTATGGATCCAGAGTACAGGAACAAACGACTCACAGTGAAACACAACAGATTCTTAGAGTCTGTAGGGCTGATTCTAAAGAAAGGACTTTTAATTATTCATGTGTAGGTTATTTTAAATGACTGATAATTTTATTTAAACAGGAGGAAACCAAAATGAAAATTAACAGATCAAGTTCTAAATGTAGCACGTTCTTGAGATGCAGTACAGCATGAAGGCATATCTGATGAACACAACTCTTAACAAAAAAAGTAAAGTGGAAGGAAAATGTCTGTATTTAACACTTTAACAGTCTCATCATAGGAGCACTATTTATTAAGTTTTATGGTATTAAGTATCTCTTCAAGTATTATATAAGCCCTGCTTTTCATCTCCCTATATTACTTTCTGGTATTTGCCCTAGACCATAGAGTGTATAAAGGATTGTTTATGTGGATGAACAAACTCTAAATCATGTAAATGGATGTGGCACCAGCTTTAAAAGTTAGAAAAATGAGCTCATGCAGCAAAAATCACACCAGGGCTGGATTTCCGTTTCCAATGCTCCTAAAATATCATGCATACTTTATGTTCTGTACTTGCAAACATGGAACAGTTACCTTCCTTACAAAGACAGCCACCAACCCCAAAATATAATCTAAGGTTAAACTGAAGATTTTGAAGATTTCTTAGGAAAAATTCCAGCACTTCTAGTAGTTTAATTTAGTGAGTTTTGGGGTTTTTTTAATTGACAATGTGTTGAGATTCTTAAGACCAACACCACCCTAAAGAGATGGAAGAGATGATTATGAAGCAAATTCACAAAGCAAATAATGGAAAACGTCTTGTTAGGGAAATGCTAGGTGCTGCCACTGTCACTAAGGTAAGCAATATTTTGAAAGCAGATCTACTGAACCAGGAAGTGTTTTTACTGACTTCATTATTACTAGAAAAGCAGAACTTGTACCCGAAGGTATGGAATTATTATTATGCATGGAAGTAATAAAAATTGAGAGATTGCAGCTGGTTTTTACAGAAGATAATAGGCTTACAGTCTTATGCTTAGTTCTCTTTGACACAGAAGGGAATATTTGGCATGACCAAACATTAAAAGAATATTTTTAAAAGAATTCCTTTATCAAACTGTGTGTACAGTCATAAGAGATAATTCGGCATGTTTCAAAGAATGATGATGCAGAATACTGGGCTCCAGAGAATACAATTTACAATACAATTAAAGCTCCAGTGTCTTGAGCAACCCAGTGTTCTGCCAAAATCAGTATTTTTGAAATACTGAGAAATACTCAGGGACTGTGATGACACCAGAGGAAGATGCAGGAAACAGATCAGAGTTGTGATGAAAGCTGTAACTTATAGTAGATTGATCTTCCTCTACTGGAGAAGGAATGACTCCCAACAGAAAAATGATGCCCTAAAAACTCTGCCTGAATAGTAACAGAAGCTGAAATCCACAGCCCAGAAGTATTTTCTTTGAACACACAGGGACAATTCAGAGCAGAAAAGGAAATCCATCAGATTTAATTCTGTTTTTTCCCTGCTCCCATATTGTTTATCCTTGACATACCCATCTGGTGGGAAAAATTGCTAAGCCACAAGAGAAAAGGCTGTGCAGAGTACATATGACTGTCTTGAGGAAAGCTAGAACCCAGGACTCCAGTCAGAAACAAGAATAGTCCCCATCACACAACTGTAAATTACCTTCAATGAATTCCATGTACTGCCATCATATGGAAATCTCTGAGGGTAATAGCCTTGTTATATTATACCTGCATTACAGTGGACTTTGGCCAGTCTTTAATTTCATTTACACAAACCTTAATCAGAGATAGCTCAGGTTAATGAAGTTACACTTGCTTTATAAAGCAATAGAAGCAACACTAAAATTAAGTTCTAGAATGAAATCTCAGGAGGGTATAAAGGAGCACCAGCTGATTTACTCAAGTTTTATTAACTTTCTTTTTCCATTATTTTTAACTTTACTGAATATTCATTGTATACTTTTAGGTATCCAACTTACTAAACAGTTAACCGGGTTTTCTATCAGACTACTATTCTTGGTTTTTTCTTAAGACAAGCCAGTGCAGTTTGGTCTCATTCTCTTTTTGTGGGCCATTTCTTTGTGATTTCTTATGGTTGTAAGTGTGCCTACAAGGATTTTGAAACTGTATGATATTTCGATTGTTTTTGTGAGGCATGACTGTGTTTTATTTGTTTCCATTATATTATGCTGATCTCTTCCAGCACCCTTCATCAGTAAACTCTTCCTTTTTAAAAACTATGCTAGAAAGTTTCTGTCTGGTTGATTTTAGTATCAAAAGATGCTTTCTGTCCCATCTGTCACTGATTCCCCATCATGTGCTTATTATGCATAAATTATTTAAACTAAGTGACATATCACAGAGTTAACTACTGCAACAGTTGCAGTCCTGACCAAGGAACTGCATGAAGTAGAGAAAATGGCAGGAATTACAGGATCTTGCAGAAGTCCTGAGAAATGTCATCGTTCTGAAGCACATCTCAGAGACCTTTTTGTCAGCAGAGAGAAATATCTCCATTTGCTTGGAGGAACAGGACAACACTAGTTTAAATCACATGAGTAAACTTGGTCTGTGTGATTTACCTCTAGTTTCTCACCACCCTTCTCCCCCTTTCCTTCTTACTTTCTCCAATGAAAAGTTCACACAAGAGTGGGCTTCAGTGGAAGTCTGAGGAAGTTTGTGGAAGAATTTACAGTGGACCCTTCCAAAGATGGATATGCAACACAAATCATAACCAAGACTACCTTACTACATAAATGCAAAGTTCTTTTACTTCTTCAAACATCTACTCTAATCTAGTACATCAAGAAGATGCAAGTATGAAGCAGATTCTGAGACACATGTCTGCCCCCTGCAGTTGTGAACACATTTCCTGATTCAAAACTCAGAGCCATAAAAGTCAGCTGCTCCCTCAGAAATACTTAATCATCCTTACATATTTCTTTGAGTCTTTTTTATTACCTCTATTATCTAGTTTTGAGAAAAGCTACTTTGCATTTGTTTTGAATTCTCCAGTGTTTATATAACAGCCATACTGTACCTTAAATGTATCTTTACTGTTGGGATTAAACAGCTGCTGTTTCCCAGATCCCAAAATAATTGGACCAGAAGCTTTGTTTTCTCCATAAGCATAAAGGAATACTGTTGCTGTTGTGCCAGCTGCTTCAAAATTCCCAGTGACTACTGTTATCTTCCAGTCTCCTTCTGTAAAGTAAAAAAAAAAAAAAAATTAAATGCTTTTAAAAATGCTACTTATACAAAGCAGTTTACTTGAAAGATGTAAAAGAAAGCATAGTTTGGCCCAAGCACTGTGACTACACTGCACCTAAAAGGTAATGATGTCAGGAGAGGCAGCAGAGGATTGGCCAAGTACTACATCATTCCAACTCATCTTAAGCAAGTTATGGACCAAGGATGGAGGAGGTTTACAGTGCACAAAAGCCAGAAATATGAACACAGAGCTAAGTGAGACTTCTAGTGATAACCTTGAGGGTCAACACAGAAGCAGACCACCATCCAGAATTTGGATTATGACAACAGTATAACCAAGAAATGCAACAGGAAAAATGCCGAAGCATCCCGATTAGGAACAATTTCTTCTCATTTTAGGGTGATGTGATACATCAACAGAATTCCATTTGCCTGGATGGGGGCATGATACTGAAATCAGCATAAAAAAAAAAGGTTTTGTAGAAAAGTCTGAACTAGATTAGGACTCATTAGAAAATCATTTTATATAAAGCTCCCTGACACTAAAATATCATCTCTGCTCCCATAAAATGTACACGTTATTTAAATATTCAAAAGAAGCTTAATATAATTCTTATTTTAAAAAAGAAAAATTCATAATTGTAAAATGCATTTCTACATCTGAAAAGCTTCTCCACCCCTCATTGATTGCAGCTTTTGTCTGTGTGAAACAAGTTCCACACAACGACTTAAATTCATTCTGTTCAAGGCAAACAATAACTGAAATACCAGCCCCCAGTCATCTTATAAATAAATGCCATAGCATACACTGCAGTTTTCTTAGTAGAAAGCTGTCTGGTAATGCCTGCATGATTTAAATCTGTAGTCTGACAGAGGTATTTATCTTGGGCCAGCCTCATTATCACTCAGCAATTTGCCCCACAAAAATTGAACTGGAGCAGGAAGTTTGATTTCCTGTTTTCCAAGTCTTTAGAGGTCTGGCTGATGTCTGGTTTGGGAAGGTGATAGAATTTTAAATACACATAAATACACAGCTGGGAATTCAGAAAGCAGCAACAGCTCGTTTGTTCTGTCCAATGAAACCTGGCCCACAGACTGAGGGAAGGAATTGTCCCCTGTACTCTGCTCTGATGAGACCCCACCTGCAGTACTCCATCCAGCTCTGGGTTCCCCAACAAAATAAGGATGTGGACCTGTTGAAACAGGCGCAGAGAAGGGCCATGAAAATAGTTAGGGGCTGGAGATCCTCTCCTGTCACAAAAGGTTGTTGGTCAGCTTGGAGCAGTGAAGGTTCCAGGCAGGTAGACCTTATTGACAGCCTTTCAATATATCAAGGGACTTAAAAGAAAATCAAAGAATTTTTACAAGGACCTGTAGTGATAAGTCAAGGGGGAATGGTTTTAAAGTGAAATAGGGTAGATTTAGAAAAGACATGAAGAATATATATTTTTTAAATAAGGATTGTAAGACACTGGAACAGGTTGCCCAAAGAAGTTGTGGATGTCCCATCTCTGAAAGTGTTTGAAGCCAGGTTGGATGGGGCTTTGGGAAACCTGGTCTAGTGGAAGATGTCCCTATCCATGTCAGGGGCTGTACTAGTTATCTTTAAAGACTTCTTCCAACTCAAATTATTCTACAATTCCATAAAGGAAGCGAAGCATCCAATTTTCACTAAGAATTGTCAGACTCCAGCTTGTAAGAAACTATTTTGTGCCTTTGAAAATCCTCATCTTCACAGCTTTCTCTATAGACTCACTTTCTTGATAAAGAAAAAAAAAAAAAAAAAAACATAGCACCAGAAAACAAAAGGACAAACACCAATTAGAGGAGTGAAAAGCCTCTATACACTGATGGTGGAAACAAAGAGCATTAGGCAAGGGCTCGCTATCCCATAGAAAAAGAGCTTGTTTGCGAAAAATTCAGCCTTTTCCGTTTTCAAACAATGTTAATTTCTTAAAGACAAAGTTCCTTTGAACCATTTGACTGGAAAATAAGGACAATTCCATTTACACAGGTTTATGAAGAGTGGTGCAGACAAGGGGTAAAATATGACCCACTACTCCTCCCAAAGTGTCAAACATCATTCAGAAACGAATACTCACTTTAAAGGAGATAAAATGTATTTCCTTTGACATGTTCAGTGATTAATTGTGCCTCAAATGGTTGTGATGGCCCTTTCTATTGTATTATTCTCACAAAGTCTGTCTTTTGTTAAGCAAGGGGGTTCTGAAATGATGCAGTTGTTACTATTGAGGCTGTGCTTTCTAGCTAATTCAGCTCCAACCTCCCAAGTTTAGTATCTATAAACTATTTTGCACACAACTACCCCTCTGAAGGTAAAGTATGGGATCAAACTTCCCCAAAAACACAATTTAAAAGAGTTTTGGTTTGAACTTCTCTATGCTGACTTTGAGGCTTGTTCCTTTTTTTCTGGAAGTAGAAAGGACTTGTGTTGGAAAGACCATGGTGGTATAGGAAAAGAGTCCTTAAATTTCTAATCTCTCTGATGCCAGAAGTCCTCATTGCAGTGCATTGCATGCTTCCAAATAGAAAAGGGAAACAGTATTACAAAAGTTTTACAAAAACATAATTCTTGTTGGCATAAGAAGCTGGATTGTTCTGATGAGGTAGAGTACCAATAGCTCCTTAATGACTGAAGAGGAGCACACTTTGAGGGGAAAAGAATACAGATAAAGGTGTTATGACATCACTTTAATTCAGCATATGTAGAGGAAAGGTACAACCTATCACCTGGGGTTCTGGTGACAGCAGAAAGTTGTAACTTGCCACAGATGAATGTCTAGACGTGTATTTTGGTTTGGGGATTTTTTTCAATTTTCTATATTATTAGAAACAGGAAAATACACTAGAAAGTTCTACTTCCTATGAAAATTGTGGTGTTTTCAAGAAGCAATACAGGAAGAAAATGCAACGTATTTAAAAGCTCATGGGGAAAAAAAGGTAAATGAACAAACTCTCAGATCAACCACTAAGCCAGGAATTGGAGCAGCCCATCTAGGTATAGGATACAGAATTTCACGTCTCTTTCCCACTGATCCATGTTTTACCTAGTGTCCCAAACAGAAGGGTATTTGTTTCACACACTTTTGGCTGCCTTGCTCTGATTGAGACTTTTGCACAGCTTAGATGACACAGACCCAGCTGTAGGTGCAGAATTTGAATTATGGAAGGGAAGATCTCTCAGGACAGGCCATGCAAAAGTGAGGTGTGTGGAACAGATAAAGCACAAAGAGTGATGACCAAAGAGCAAATTACTGCCTGCTGGAAAAAGCACAGAAAGCAGGAAGGACAAAAATACTTGTGACTCAAAAGAAAGTCTATAACAGGGTAGGATTTTAATGTATTTTTTAAAATAACTGGGCAAAAATTTTATCATTACCACTTGCCATAGGAGCAAGGTTTAGGACAAGATATTTGAGTCTTCATGGATATTTTGATTGATATAACAAATTTTGAATAAACATTTTCCAACTTTCTCACAACTCTTCTAGATCATTGTTCATCCTATAGCATAGCTGTGAAATTCCAATGTGTTATTAAGAAATTAAATTTAATCTGCTCTGGTTGCCAGGACAGAGATGTCAGCCTAAACAAATATGAAATCACAAGTAAAACAGTAAATGAAAAACTATTGTTCAGAAAAAAACCAAATTTTGTCTAAGAGAAAAAATCATGTTTTAAAATGTTAACTATAAAAAAACTGAAATTAAGACAGATCACCAGTAAGTACTAGAAGAACAGGAATTTTTCAAAGAAGCAGAAGGAAAAATAACTTTATGGAAAGAAAAATGACAGAATAAAGTATAAGCAAAGTTATTTATTAAATTAAAATGTGAAGTTCAGAGTTTACTGAAATGTTCAAATAGTGTGCTATAATTAATGTTTTAAAATAAATACAAATGGCAACAAATGTGTAAAGCAATTAGTTCTGAAACACAAACACTCTTCATTAAAACCAGAAAACAAGAACAGTATTTACCACTTGCTTCTTGCATTTTCAGCTGCTGATTTTTTTTAAAGTCTGCAAAAAAAATCCATTAAAAAAGGACCTTTCCTTTAATACTACAGAAAAGGTTTGAAAGAAGAGATCAAAAAGACATTCAGTTTTTCCAGCCAATACAAGAAGACTCTTTCTCATTTGTTCCCTCATTACTTTCTCATTATCACCTAAACCAATTATATAAATCATATTCTCTCAGAAATATAGCAAGCTGCAAAATCAGTTAACTCTGATATTTACAGTGTAAAATCTGTCCAGATTTTTTCAGAGGAAAAGGAATTACTAATTATTGTTCTTACTTCCATAAGGTAACAATAAATATTACCTTGAGGGTACAGCTCAATTTCTGAATGGATTATACCTTGAGACATAAATGGAAGCCACCTAAGAATAAGAAAGAAAATAAGAAAGCAGGTTGGAATCAATTTTTATTTACATTACCATATAAGAATGGCCCATATCCAATTTTCATACTGTGTACACCTAACAGCAAAGGGTCTCTACTCCTAAAATTTTAGTATTGCAGTAGAAATTATTTGACTCAACAAAGAAACTTCTTTTGTGCAAAAGTAAGGGCTATGTAGGTAAAAAATAGACTTGTATCAGATTAAGAGACTCATATGGCAATACTTTACTTGTGTCTATAGCTAAACAGAATATAGCACAGAACATTTTTTTTCAGTACTATGGATTGAGAGGTAAGTATCGTTTGTATGTATCTATTGCAGTATTTCTTAAAACTACAGTTCAGTGTTAAAACAAAGATGGAACCAAGCACTTCTCTTTCTTATTCCTCCTATAAATTGAGGACAGGTAAATGAGTCTCAAAAAAGGACAAATCAAAGAAAACATTCTTAAAGTATCCTAGTCATGTTACCCTAGGCTATGTATAATTTTGAAAACTTTTCCTTGAGAACATGGATTGCCAACAGCTTTTATTTCATCTTGCTTGGTAAAAAATCAGCTCTTTTTTACCAGAAAAGGAATGCAGCAATCTTCTGGGCTGTAGTTTTTTATTTTCTCTGTCCACTTCCATGGACTCTCCAGGAATGGCCTAAATCACTCAGTCTCCTATGAAGTCTATTGGGATTCCAGTACAAACTGGACAAAAAAAGTCAGTAGCAACTTAATGAAGTTTCCAATTTTTTTGTCTTGAAAACAGTACTTGGCCAATTCATCTAAGAGCTACTCCTTAAGAAATAAATTTTCTCTTACTAAACTACTTATTTCTATTACTTCTGCTAAAAACTGATGGCACAGATATGTTCTGAAACCCCAGATGCTAAAAGGTATCAGTAACTAGTAAATAGTGTATAATTGAAATCGAGCAGAAGGTGTTAGATGTTCAGAAACTAATATCAGGTTTTGAGACAGATAAAATGCTTATGTTCCTTTGGTTAAATGAGAACAAAGACAGAACCATTTCATGTCCTGGATCAGAAAATAGCTCTGTAAAATAAAACAAATGTGAGACTGAAGATTACTGAATTAGATTTATGAAGAGCAAAAGCCTTCTCCCTCCTTGAACAGAGCACAAGTACATTTTGGCAAACATGGAAGTTACACCTGATCCCTACCACTGTCTTGTTTTAATCCCTTTTCAGTGGAAGGGTTTCCTTCTACAGAAGTTAGACATTAAAAAAGAAACACTTGTTCCTTTTTAACACTCTCTACCACAGAATAATAAACATCTGGTGTTAATTATCACAGAATTAACACAGCAAAGCGTCCTGCCATTTATCATTCCTAAGCCATATTGCTCACTAGAAATAGCTATGACACAAAGAAAATTTCACCTACATTTTTTTAGAAAGGTAGCAACTCCAGCTAGCAACAACAGCTGGTCTGCATCCAAATCTGCTCAGAGAAATCCTCAGTCTTATACTACTATTTATAAGCATCTTACCAGTTGAAGAAAAATCTCAGATTTAGAGAGTTAACCAAGGTGAGAAAACGTCTTTATTCCTGTTTTGGAGGATGTGACGCCAAGAATTCCAAGAAATTGTTCAAGGTTATGTAACATATTCATTTAAATCCAGACAAAATAACTAGGCAACGTGCATTTATTAAATATTATTAATTAAATGTTATTTATTCTGGTGCCTTGTCACATAGGCATATTGTTCCTCTTCACTTTCTTTATTTCACTCGAGTCATGCATTTTCCCATGAGAGAAACTGTAAACTGGAAACTCCAAAATTGGGATTACCATATTTTTCTAAAAATGCAAAATGAAGTATTTATCAATTGACTTTTAAGGTGCTCATTTAATAACTTAAATGGAACATCTACAAAATAATTCCAGGCATCGTATTTGTCTCTCTGGCCATGCTGTAAAGAGAGTGAATGCTAGTCTTGGATGGAAAACCTTGTTTCTTTCCCATTTAGAAATACACTTAATTGAGAACATTTCAGGTGCTTTATCTTTCCTTCCTGAAAGGTAAAATCACACTTACATCACTGACCCTGTAAGATAAGGCTGTACTCTTAATTCTAGTAACACAGACTCAATATAAGTGTTTAACCTTTGCTACAGATCATACAGAACATTAATTCAAGCAATCTGTTCTGCAATAACACATTTTGTGGATTTTATGAAACTGTGAAATAATCAAAAAATGTCTTTGCCTGAAAAACTCACATTTAGTACATCAATTGACACAATACTGGTAGCAATCCATATTGATGAATATTTAAACATATTGCTGTAAAAACTACCTTTCACAATTGAAAACATATTCTGAGTTGCTCCCAGCTTCTCTGACGACGACTTTATCACAGTACCAGTGCTGGGACTGGGTGCTGGCCTCGCAGCGCAACAGCACCTTCTGCAGCTTCCCGAGGGATACAGCCTCCACTGCAAATCCACTGACCTGGGAGACACAGGAGACAGCACTCTGCAGTTTGCCACCAGTGAGGCACTCCAACAGCTGAAGTGTGCTAAAAGCCTGATCAATTCCCACAATGTACAAAAATTTCAGCTTGTTTTAATGACAGCTCGACCGTATTCAAAGAGTTTGGATCTGAAGAGTTAAATGTCCTTTTGATGAGGTGTCACAGTAAATAAGAAAGCACAGCCAAAACTAGGATGCAGTAATAATCCCTCAAAATATTGGGCTTTTACAGCCATCATCCAAAATGCTGAACACAATTCTCTAGTGTTGTTTCAATGCCTTGGCATTTACATTACTCTTCTCTAGGTAAGAAACACTTAAAGCTGTTATTTCCTTTGTTGATATTACTTTAAATCAGACCTTCTCATAATTTTCTCCTTTTGGCTTCACCTCCTCTTCTTACATTTTATTCTACTGAAATAAACTGAAATCTGACATGCCATTTTCCCCTTGTTATTCATTTAGGCTTGTGCTTATAGTTGGAAAAGATTGTTTTCATAGAAGCATGAAGCTGATCAGGTTCGGGTTGATAATTTTCTGTCCCAGGAAAAAGCACACAGCTTTCTGTCTCTAAATATAATGGTCCAGATCATTCTTCTCAGTACAAAGAAAATAAAGGAAAGAAATGCACTGGAAAATTAATATCTGTAAAGTTCTCAGTACTCAGCAAATGGCAGAATTGAGACTGCCTGTGCAAGATTACTTATCCCTTGTGTATAGATAATATATGATCACAAGCTAGTCTCTGTGAAAGATTCCTGCCTCAAAGTGTGCTCAGGAGGACAACAGATTTTTCAGTATCTCCTTTTGTCTTCATTATCTTTATGTCTCTATGCATTATTTACTGCAACCACCCAAAGAGCTTAGTGAAACAGAAACTGATTTCCCCAGTGACTTCACCTTTGCACTTCTCCCATAGCACCCTGGTTTTCTGCAACTGCTTAATCTCTTTTTTAAAAGCCCATCTGCATATTTTTTTCAATTTATCTACATAGTTAAAGCTCAGAGTTTGCTGCCAAAAGCTGTCAAAAATGCAGAGTGGTGTGGGTGCTCAACTGAGAAACAGAGGGGTTAATTTACTGAAATATTTAGCATTTCAAAGAGCTTACTAGGTGTGCAGAGCAGAATTCTATTTGAACTCAGTTACAGCTATGGTTGTTCAGAGAAGTTAAACTGGTTATGCAGCAGTACATAAGCATGAAAAATGTGGTCACTCAGGAAGGTTTTGTTTTAAGCAATTTGCCCAATATAATGCAGAATATCTGTGGCAGGGATGAAATCAAGTTGTTCAAGTCAGCATTCTACTATCTCTGCCAAAAAGGATATATCCCAGTCCCTGCTCTGCTGCTCCAAACAATCCCCTGTCTTATTCACCCATTTCCATAACAAAGTGCCCTTTGAACCAGTCCCCTCAGCCCCTGTGTAAATAATAGGCTGAATTGACTATCAATCTGGCTTGAATAATGCCCCCCAGAAAATTCCACTTAAATTCTGCATTTTAATTTGAATGGAACTTTGTCTCTCATACATTACTAACAACATAAAATATCTATTTTAAAATAGTATACATACATTTAAAGTTTCCCAGTGGGTAATGGCTATTTTTAGCACTTTAGGTACTGCTTTTCATTTGGTAATTAAGTGTTCCACTAGCAGCTTGATACCACTGGTTACACATACAAGTGTTAATCCTCAATAGACCACAAAGGAAGAAACAGGCTCAATAGAAGGTCACAAGAAGGCTAGTGACAGAGTTAACATTAAATTCAGTAGTTGCTGAAATTTAACCATACTGCAGAAAATCAGGATGATGTATATTTTACCTTTGGAAGAGCTAGGAGGTAATAAATTGAAAGAAAAATTACTTTAAGTTGGTCCTGTATTAATCACAATACTTTACTATTATACATTAAAGGAAATACATAACAAATAGATCTACTCAGATCTGAAATCATGGGACAATTTCTGTACACTCCTTTGGAACCATCTGTAACTCATCATATTTTGAAAGGATATGTTTTAAATTCATAGGCAGCTCTTCTCAGCATCTCAGGGTGAGGCCCTTAAAAATTTTTTCTTTCCCTTTTCCTTACTATGTTTTCACTCATCCTATTAAATTTGGGGTCAGTAGAAAAATATTTTCCTTAGTTCTTAAAAGTTATTTAGCTAAACTTACGTGGTTTGCTTTATTACTATTATTAGGAACCTGTATAACTTGTATACAATTACTTAACTATATTCACAAGGCTAGGCAAATTTTTTTTCAGACTTACCATTCCTCTCTGAAATGGCACT